GGCGCTAGAGGAAGGGCGGCGTGCTTGTGTTTTAACGTTAATCTTCGCCTGTAAGCCATTTTCGCACTCGGAAATTACTATGTCACAGTCTGGTCGAGATCATGTACCTCACCCAGGTCAGAGCCAATCGACTAACCACTCTCCACGGCGTACAACACCGCCTCCTCCAGTCACGAATGTCACGAACTTTCTTCAAAATCCGGAGTTTATTCAAGGTTTGTCTTCATTGATAGCTCGAGCCATGCCTAGAAACTCAAGTACGATCCCGTTGTCGATGCCGTTGACTACTAACCCAACAGAACATCCAACTCATACTCGTCATGACCATGAAACACATGTGGCGACGTCACATGCCACGTCGCAGCCTCATCATACTTCTCCACGTCAAGAAGAACAGGCTCATGTAATTGTTAATCCAGTAATGAACAATCAAGTTCCAGATCAACCTCCTGTGCAGGAGATGACTGCTGAAAGTCATTCTGCTCATCATCAGAGAGTTTCCCCACGTCCTAGACCCATCTCATCAGCACCTCACGCTCGTGAAGATTTACGACGCCAAATTGAACGCAATCGTCTTTCAAGGCATAGTGCGGAGGAAATTGAAACTCTCCGTAAACATTTGGCTGAACTTGAAACACGACAGAAGTCACAAGAAGATTCACCCCGACATCTCAGGACGTCGGGAAATGTTGTCGTCGAGGCGGATTCTCCTTTAGCCCCCGAACTTACTGCGGAGCCACTCCCTGTGAAAGTGAAAATTCCACAAATCGGCATGTATGATGGGACGTCGGATCCAGATGCACACTTAGGCCATTATACGTCTTGGATGGATTTACATGGAGCTTCGGATGCTCTGAGGTGTCGGATGTTTTCGCTTACATTGGGGCCACGAGCCCAAAAATGGTATTACACTCTCCCACCTCATTCAATTTGGAAATGGCAGCAGTTACGTGCAGCTTTCCGGTCACACTTTATTGGTGCTCAAATTTGTCTCATTCCGAAAGAGTCGATTACCAACATCGTGCAAAAAGACGACGAGACTGTTAAAGATTATGTGGCTCGGTTCAATGACCGAATTCAGAACATGGAACCCTGTCATCCTGAAACTTTGTTAGTAACTGCTATTGTCGGACTGAAGCCCAATTCAATGTTTCGTTGGACCTTATGTCAAAATAAGCCTGCAACATTTCAAGAGTTTCTTGTACGAGCTCAGCAATTCATTATTGCCGAAGAATCCATGTCGGTCCCCAGTTTCTACTTCTCGGTAAAAGAAAGCAAGGTTGAACCAGATGCTAAAAAGAAAAACAAGAAGAGCTTTGGGAAAGCACAATTTCGGAACTCCTCTAAAGGATATGAAAATACTCCAGAGTCTCGAGCTGCTCGTGATCAATATTCGGACAACGTCAGGACAGGTTATCATGCCGTTTATTCTGCTGGAGCGGCCACTATATATGAGGAACTGAAGGGAAAGGGAATCATCCCAGACCCGAGGCCTGTGAGAACTCCTGAAGACAAGTTGGATAAAATTAGGTACTGCGCATACCACAAGTCTCCAGGGCATAATACTGATGAGTGTCTTGGTCTTTTGTCGACACTCTTACGTTTAATCGGACAACCCCAGCTTCAAAAGTTCCGAAATTTTGATAACCGCCGGAAAGGAAGGCCCTTAGATCTTTCAGACGACGAAGATGAGGACAACCGACCTGCTAACCAGAAGAGAGCTCGTGCAAACGATAAGGAAGTTTTTACGTTTTCCACACATGTCAGGACTTCGACCGACAACCATAGGAAACCTATGATACGTGATCCTGCAGATTTTTCACGTTGCATACCTCGAGTTAATTCCAATAATAAACAGTTAGATACGTCTCGACGAAAAGTCAAAGCTTATGCTCGGGAGGCTCAGAATGCCGAGAAACGGGTCATGAATGTTGATCTCCGAGATACTATCAACAAACGGAATTGCCCTATTACGTTCAGTATTGAAGACGCTAACTTGTTCGCTCATCCTCATTCTGATGCTCTTATTATAACCGCCCCGATTGGGGGAATTCCTGTTCATCGGATCTTGGTCGATACAGGAGCGTATTCAAGTATCTTAATGCTCCGTACTTTCAAGAAATTGGGTTTGGACCCAGCAGACATTAGACCATGTAACGATCAGATTCAAGGTTTCAATGGAAGCATTTCTTGCCCTATTGGCGAAATATTGCTCCCCATCCGATTTGGAGGCTTTGGACCAAAGTCCAAGATCATTATGGAAACTTTCAAAGTCTTGGATGTCCAAAATGAATATAATGCTGTAATAGGGCGAACCGCACTTTATAAACTCCGTGCTGCTGTGTCAATTTTTCATTATGCCTTGAAGTTCCCCACCATTGAAGGAGAAGGCACTCATTACGGGGACCAACGAGAAGCCCGAAGTCTGATGCTGCTCTCAACCTCGCCTAACTTTCATATGATTGAAGAACAAGATGTTAATAGCTTTGTTGTGCCGAATGATTCGATTCCTCGTGTTGAAAGAATTAATCGCTTCGCCCCGGGTACCGACATGCCTCAAGCAGAGATCAACTTGCCGCTTGTCGATACCGACATCCCCATGACGTCGGTCTTGCCTGAAACATCAACTGAAATCCTCGATCAAGGACAATCTTTTCATGAAAAAGACGTAGAAATGCCTGAGGATATGGACCCAAGGATGCAGTTCAAAGATGGAAACCATCATGTTCGAGCAGAACCTGTTGAAGATATTGAGATCATTTACATGGACGGGTCAGATCAACAGAAATTGCTACGTATTGGGGCCAACCTACAAGAACCCATTCGGTCAAATTTGATTCAATTCCTCCAGTCAAACACTGACGTATTCGCTTGGAAGCATGAAGACATGAAAGGCATCGACCCACAGAAGGCATGCCATCGTCTCAATTTGGACAAGACTGTCAAACCGGTTATTCAGAAACGTCGGAAATTTGGCCCAGATCGCCAGAAGGCCCTTGAAGAAGAGGTAAACAAGCTCATAGATAATAAATTTGTCAAGGAAGCCAAGTACCCGACGTGGATATCAAATCCTGTTTTGGTTAAGGAAGCCACCGGTCTTTGGCGTCTCTGTATAGATTTCTCAGATTTGAATCAAGCGTGCCCGAAAGATAGCTACCCCATTCCACACATCGATTACATGGTAGACGCTACGTCGGGACACCAACTTATGAGTTTTCTGGATGCCTATTCAGGCTATAATCAGATTCCCATGCACCCTGATGACGCTGAGCATACCTCGTTCTATTCAGCTCGAGGCCTTTATTGCTATGTTATGATGACTTTCGGGTTGAAGAATGCAGGGGCCACATATCAAAGATTGGTCAATAAACTGTTTGCTCGCTTAATTGGCCATACCATGGAAGTTTATGTAGACGACATGTTAGTGAAGTCGGAACAGGCCCCTGACCATATCGCTCATCTCTCCGAAGTCTTCGATATACTCCGAGAATATTCCATGGTGCTTAACCCCAAGAAGTGTACTTTCGGAGTTGGATCAGGGAAGTTTCTAGGATACATGGTGAGTCAAAGAGGGATCGAAGCCAATCCCGCCAAGATTCAAGCCATACTTGACCTAGCTCCTCCGACATCTCTCAAAGGTGTCCAAGCTTTAACTGGTCGACTGGCGGCCCTTAATCGGTTTATTTCAAAGTCAACAGATCATTGCAAACCGTTCTTTGACGCTATTAAAAAGAAGACACCGTTTGAATGGACCATGGAATGCCAGAATGCTTTTGACAACATTAAACAAGTTCTCTTACAGTTACCGACGTTACAAAAGCCACTTCCTGACGAATCTCTCTATTTGTACCTTGGTGTGAGTAACGTTGCTGTTAGTGCTGTTCTTATACGACAAGATGGACTCCAACAGTTTCCGGTATATTATGTTAGCAAGGCTTTACATGACGCTGAATTGCGATATCCACATATGGAGAAGTTGGCCTATGCCCTGGTCATTGCTGCACGGAAGTTGCGCCCATATTTTTTAGAGCATTCAATTGTTGTGTTCACGACATACCCTCTCCGACAAGTCCTTCACCGACCTGGTACGTCGGGAAGAATGGTTAAATGGGCGATAGAGTTGGGACAGTTTGATATCCAGTATCGGCCGCGAACCGCTATCAAAGCCCAAGTACTGTCCGATTTCGTTGCTGAATTTACTCCCACTGTTGACTCATCCATTGAAGATCCGACATGGACTCTCTACATTGATGGATCGTCCACCGCCATACGAGCTGGGGGGGGAATTGTCTTGGTTAGTCCCGATCATCAAGTGTTTTGTTATTCTGTGGCATTCACCTTTCAGGCCACCAACAATGAAGCCGAGTACGAGGCCCTCTTGTCAGGTTTACACTTTGCTGAATCCATGAATGTTTCCTCTCTCTGGATATTTTCCGACTCTCAATTACTAGTCAGCCATATCAATGGTACTTATGAAGTCAAAAAACCACGGCTGTTGCCTTATTTTGATCTCGTTAAAAAGAAGCTAGCCCGGTTTAAAATGACGTTGGAGCATATACCTCGGTCATCCAATATTCAGGCGGATGCTCTTTCACGATTGGCCTCATCAACCGACTTGAATAATGTTGAATTTGTGCAAATTACCCAACAGGCGACCTCATCAACAGTCTCTACCGACGTCGCCATGGTTGACGCCGCCCCAGTGACTTCAAATTTTACATGGATGGACCCGATCATTGATTATCTTCAAACCGGGGCCTTACCTGAAGACCCGAAAGAAGCTTGCGCCCTTCGTGTTCGTGCTGCTCATTACACCATTGACCAAGGGACGTTATATAAACGTGGGTATTCTACCCCATTGCTCAAATGTTTATCAGAGGTTGAGGCTCAACGAATCCTGCAAGAAGTACACGAAGGAGTCTGCGGTACCCACCAAGGAGCTCAAACTTTGTCTCACAAAATCCTCCGACAAGGTTACTACTGGCCTACCATCAGGAGAGATGCCACAGATTGGGTGCGACGGTGCCATAAGTGTCAAATATTCGCTCCCAATGTTAACCAACATCCTAAACATCTCAAGTCAATATATAGTCCATGGCCGTTTGCAAAATGGGGAATTGATTTGATCGGCCCACTTCCGACAGCAAAAGGGGGAGTTCGGTTCGCAATTCTAGCTGCCGATTATTTCACCAAGTGGGTTGAAGCTGAGCCCCTTGTAACCATCACCGAGCAAAAAATGGTGGATTTTTTATGGAAATCAATCGTTTGTCGATTTGGGATTCCCAACTCCATTATAACCGACAACGGTCGTCAGTTTGAAGGCAAGCGATTTGAAAGTTTTTGTGATGATTACGACATCAAGCATTTCTTCTCGTCACCTTACCACCCACAAGCTAATGGACAGATAGAAGCCGTAAACAAGATTATCAAGAATGGCCTGAAAACTCGACTTGAAGCTGCAAAAGGATCATGGCCTGATGAACTGCCTTATGTCCTCTGGTCTTATCGGACGACGACGAGAAACTCAACTGGAGAAACTCCGTTTTCGTTAGCTTACGGAACTGAAGTTGTGATACCGGTTGAACTTGCCTCTCCGACATA